GGAGGATGTGGGCGGCAGCGCTACTCTGCCCCGGGCTTCCCCGTGTCAGCGCTGGTCAACTTCAGCAGTGGCTGAATCGGGGAAGCCGGGGACAGAGCAGCTCCAATGGTCTGGCTGCCTGGAGCACTTCCGGGTTCCTGATGGTGCCGGACCATCAGATGCTGGACCAATGGAGTTTTACTGTATAAAGTTAATCAGGATTATGAACCAGATGGGCAAAAAAAGTAAGTTAAACAGCAATATCTTAGTACATTTGGTAAATTATACAATAAGCAAGAGGAGAATGTATGAAAAATTCAAAGCTTTGGAATACTACTGTGGGGTTATAGAGCACTTAGGGGGGGGAAAAAAAAAAAAAAAAAAAAAGCACTTCGCTTTCCCTCCACCCTTCTGACAGAGGTGTTCTTTTATGGGATACCAGTATGGCTTTATAATAAAAAAATGTAGTAAATTGAAGATCTAAACTTCAAACACTGAGTTTGTGTTTGCATATATACATGCAGTAGAACAGCTCTCTAAGCTATACCTAGCAATCTGCACAAAAATGGTAGTTCTGCCTCTTCCAAAAACAATTTATAAGCAAAGTGCTTTATCTTCTCTTGGATACTTTTATAGCTACAATTACAGTTACAGTATCTAAGCTATAGTGACAGGGAAAATGATTAAAATAAGCAATTAAGACTGCTATATTTAAGCACTCCAGTGACCTTTTACAGTACTAAGGATACTGCAAAAACAATAAAGTTTTACAGTGCACATTAATGTAAGATTAAGAAACATCAAATAAAAAGTAGTAAATATATTTTCTTAAACATTTTTGCTGTGTGTTGTTCATCTGCCAATTTTAGACTTCAACCACTTCAAATAGGGGACCATTATCAGTTAATTAGAAAGTTTCTACAGAAGTGATAAGACCGCATTGGTTCAGGAACCGCAATTAGCAATCAACGTCACCCAAAAGAGCCAAAGTAGTGTGAATTCATTATTTCATTTCCTATTTTCATATATTATCATCACAGCAAAATGACTAAGTATTATTATATCAACTACAATTGGTTATTAACATAGCAAAAAAATCCTGATTAAGAGCCACTTGAAACTTGAGGCCCTTATTCTTGAGTATCACTGTTCTACACCATGCACAGAACATTATTCATGGATTAACCTAGAGGCTTCACACAATTGAGATTATATTTAATTATTGCAGCAAATGACATGTCAGCTTCTATACAATTCTATTAAATTTTTCATTACAAGACAACATCAAATTCTCAACGCCTCTAAAACCAAAAGTGAGAATTCTAAGCAGGTAAGAGGGTAAGTGACAACTGGCAGTAACAAAAAATTAACATTGCACTTATTTCACTTTACCTAAGAACGTTCTATGCAAGAGATCAGCAATTACAATCCATCTCTCTAATTCCTGAACTCTATTCCTATTTTGAGGAAGAAGTGAGGCAAATATCAATAAAGATATTCAATGTCCAAGAGTGTTTGTAGTGAAGTTTTTCTGTCACTACTGGAGCTCTGAAAAGCCCTTCTATTTTTTTCCTGTTGTCTGTATATTTGCTACACACCTTTTGGGGTCCAATTATTAATTGGATTATTTAGAAACTGATCTACAAACTGACATTATTAGTAAAACTGAGTAAAAGTCACTGCTGTTGAAATAAACTATGTGTGCAAATGAATTTTAATATGAAAAAGCACTTACCTCCAACTCCCTTAAGATAGTTGCTGCATCATTTGTCACGAAAAGCTTCTCAAGATGATTAATAACCATTTTGTTCATTCCTAAATGATGAAAAGCTTTCTATTTTACACTGTAAATACTTTACAGTTTGAATGGTTATTCCATTAATTCCTCTCATCTCATGCAATTGATGCATTATTTTTGTACTTCATATAAAAGTATTTATAACAAAGCTATTTACCATAATCAGTTCTCTCTCTAAAGAAAGGGTTTATGATATTTTAACATTCAAAAATTTTAGTCCTATAAACATTTGTAAATTTAGATTGGATTGTGAAACTTTTCTTCTGAAATAAAGTTTTGAAGTTACTTTAAGGAGACAGCAATTTAAACAAGATTTTTTTGGGGGTAATCCTACTCTTACATAATTTAAGATAACAAATATGCACTAGCACAATATATTGTCTTTAGTTTTTCAGTTTGCTTTGTGTTTGAATAGTGCAGTGTGTAGTCAATTTAATTATATCCCCTACACAGTCAATCATGTTTCTTTATCTTCAATGGATCTCTCACTTAACACCAAGTGGGGCAAAACATTAAATTAGGACAAAAATAATAATTAGGGATGTGAAGGTTCCTGGTACCCATGAGATGACAACTGAAGGTTCCTGGTACCTCCCTGCACATATCCAGAAAGGAGGAGGGAGGCATCAGGAAGGACCCTGGTACACATCTGGCTTCTCACTCGCACCAGTTCCTGGGAAGCTGCCTCCCACCATGTATAACCACTGAAGTTTGTAGCAGTTACACAGTTACATAAATGCATTTTAACATTCCTAATAATAATTCCACAAAAACGGACTTGAGGACTCAGAGCCAGATAGGGTACATTAAAAGTTGAACAAACTGAAAAAGTTCCTTTTCTGAAATCATGTAACTATAGACATTTCTAACTCAAGTTTATGGTAAAATAATGGAATGGTCATCCTTCAAGAAAAACAAATATAGCTTATTTATACATAAGTATTACAATAAACAGTATAAAATTAGAGTGTTACCATTTGGCCCAAGAGCTGTACGGGTGGTTTGAGAAAGCTCCTTACATGCCTGTATGTTCCTAAACACAGCTTCTTCTAATCCTGAAAAATGCTACAAAAAATGTATTGCTCAGAATTAGTGGGTCTAACAAAAGATTCTGGAAAATTACAGTCATTTGTCAGCCAGGATGAAGTGCTGGCTTCACTGAAGTCAAAAGCAGAAGTCCCACTCAGTTACTTTGCAGTCAAATCCTGGCTTCTGAGAAGTCTAAACAAAAGTTAAATCCTACTCCTTCAAGAATCATGAAGCTAACATACAGTGACTCAATATGAAAAAGGAAAGCTGTGTCAACATTCAACAGACTGACCCCTATAAGTTGGGACCTACCAAATTCATTTAATCAAAATTAAATTTTGATTAATTTCACAGCCACGTGATCTTGAAAATTGTAAGAACCTTTCAAGTACCTAAAAGGTTGTTACAAGGAAGAGGGAGAAAAATTATTCTCCTTACCCTCTGATGACAGGACAAGAAACAATGGGCTTAAATTGCAGTAAGGGAGGTTTAGGTTGGGACATTAGGAAAAACTTCCTGCCAGGGTGGTTAAGCACTGAAATAAATTGCTCAGGGAGGATGTGGAATCTCCATCAATGGAGATATCAGGATCTTTTGGTAGATCTTGGAGACTCTAACAGGTGATCCTGACTGGTTTGCTTGGGAGGGTAATCAAATACCAGCACTTGAGCTGTCTGTCCCCCCCACTACTATGCTGCTCCTGCCCTCTGCCTTGCAGCTGACTTCTGGGAGCCTCCTGTTTGCTCTATAGGGTGGGGAAAGGCAGAAGAGAGGGGCCACTAATGTCAGGGTGTCCCCCTCCTCTCATCCCTGTACCTCATCTTCACAGAGTGAGCAGTGCACAGCCTTGGAGAAGGGGCAGGGTGAGGCTGGGCCTCGAAGAAGGGGTGGTCAAGGAGAGGGGACAAAGGTATTTGGGTCTGAGGTAGATCCTAGACAGAAACTCAAATAGCAATCAAATGCTTAAAAAGGTTGGAGACCACTGTTCTAGATCAGGGCGGGCAAAAAGGCCTCCATGGGCTGGATGCGGTCCGTCAGGCAGGTGGATGCGGCCCACAGAGGCCCTGCAGCTGCCCCACCCCCAGGCCAAATAGGACCTGGGGATGGGGGAGCACGCAAAGCCTCGTCCCACCCTGCCAGAAGCACGTGGCACTTTGAAGCAATGCAAGCTGCTCGCAGGGCGAGGAGCGGAGGAGGCTTCACAAGCTCCCCTACCCCAAAAGCCAATGAGGGCCTGAGGGTGGGGGAGCTGCGTGAAGCTTCCTTCGTCCTACTCATGCTCCTCACAGGGCAGGAGGTGGCTTCCTGCGCTCACCCGCCCCAGGCCCTATTGGCCTAGGGGTGGGGGAGCATGCCAAGCCTCTTCCAGGGCCTGGGTGCCTAGTGGGAAGGAGGGGGAAAGGGGCTCCCCCACACCCCAGACCAATCAGGGTAGTGGAGGAGCTCAGGGCTGGGGCAGGGAGTTGGAGTTTAGGAACCTTACCTGGGGCAGCTCCTGTTTGCTAGGGGGAGGGGGGAATTAGGTGGCGCTGCACAGTACATGTTCACCAGCAGGCACTGCCCTCTGCAATTCCCAGCCAAAGGGAACTGCAGGGACAGAGCTTCCAGGCACTTACATTGACACATCATCTTCTAAGTGGGAGGAAAGAATGGCAGCACATGGTGGAAGGGCTGGCCCAGAACACAGGGACACTATGGCCAGTGACTTTGGGCTAAGGGAGCCCCCTCACTCCCCTTTGCAGCCCCTTTCTTAATCTGGCCTTGCTGCTGCAGCCAGGAGAGCTCACTGCTGTGGCTGGGGCAGACACATGCTCCTCCAGCACAGAGCTTATTAGGCAGCTGTGTGGCCATGCAGCTCGGGAAACTGACACACCTACTCGCCTGAAGAGTAGTCTAGGATGAAAAAATCATTCCCATGAGGAGGAGGTTTCCATCAAAAGCATACAAAGTTTACAACTACACAATTCCCATTAAGGATATGAAAGGTTAACCAATTAATCAGCAATCATCACCCTTAACAGGTGATGCTGAACTGTTCCCTGCCTGCAGCAAGCAGGTAGCTACTCCAGCCCCCACCAGTTAACCAGAAGTGGCAAACATTAGGGTTGTAAGCAACTAGTTGAACAGCTGACTACCTGATAAGCCTAGGCTTATTGGGTAGTCTAGTCACTACTTGACTAATCGCTGCTTCTCCTCCTCCTTGCTTCCTCTATCAGAGGCAACAAAGGGGGGGGGGGGGGGGGGGGGGGAGGGGGAAGGAAGCAGGATCCAGTGCTGGAGAGAGCAGGTTTAAAAGCCAGATCCCTCCAACACTGTCTCAGCAGAAGAGGACCAGGTGTGAGCTCTTACTACATTACAATGGCAGAGCTGCAATGGGGTTAGCTCCTGGGGCTGGGAGCTAACCCCACTGCAGCTCTGCTGTTTCCCCCCTTATCAACTAATTAAAAATTCCATCAACTACTCGATTAGCTGATTGAACACAATTTAACATCCTTAGTAGCTACTGCTTCAGAACGGGTTGGACACCCTGATTATAGGCCACTGTATAAACAACCTTCTTGATTTAGACACTGGACCAGAATACAGGATTCCAGTGGTAGTCACACTAGCGCCAAATACAGAGCTAAAATAATCTTAATACTTGCACACTTGTCTCCCTTATTGTTGCACCTCACAACTGCAGTAGTCAATTAGTCAGTTAACTGATAAGCCTAGGCTTCACTGGTCAATCTAGCCGACTATTTGCATCCCCCCCTTCTCCCCTGGCAGCCTCTATATCAGAAACTGTAAGGGGAGAGAAAGCAGGAGTGGGTGCTTAAAAGCTGGTTCCCCTCAGCACTGGCTCCTCGGTGCCTCCTGCCCCCCCCACCCCATTGTTGCCTCTATTAGTGACAGCAGCAGTGTGGAGGAGGAGGGGAGCAGGCAGAGCACCCTTTGCTTGTGGCGTGCGCAGGCTCGCAGGGAGGAGATGTAGCTTCATGACAGCCGCTCCTGTCGGGGGG